GCCATGCTATGAACTCTATGCTACAGTTTGCATTTTCAAAATTCCTCGCAATGGATCTGGAATAAATCAGCAATGGGTCAAACCGCTTAAGAAAGTGTTTGAATAACTGCCCATGGAGTGTCCGGGGGTTCTCCGTCAGCTGAGTATTTTGACTGCTGCTGTTCAATTACCATTTGAGAAAGCAGGACTGCTGGGAAAGACAACACAATGTAAACCAACATTGGCTATAAAAGCATATAGTGTACCAATGCACAGCCCCAGTTTCAGAGATGTTACCAAAGGCAACCTCATATCACACTGCTCAATGATGCTTCTAGCCAGCAACGTTCAATACAGCCAAAGGTAAGAGGTCTTCAAGAAATCATGAGAGCCAGAAATATCTAATTTTACCTCTGTAATAGAAACAGTAATTGACAAATCATCTTTTACATTTATAAAATATATGACGAGGAATGTACCACAAGCATTCTAGACTTTCTGTCTGCACTGGAAATCAACTGGGAAATTAGGAGGTATGGCGTAGAAACATCACTACGAATATACTGTATTACTGCTTTTGCAGCTGCAGTCCCAGAATTTGTTTCACAATAATTCAGTTACCCATGTTTAAATAACCAGCCAGCAGAAGAAAGGCTGATATATTTCATATGCATTCTCTTTGAGCAGGGGGGCCTTCACGTCTGGTCGAAAAACATCAGGCTCATATGACACCACCAAAGTCAGGAGAGATGCCTAACCATAACTAAAAGCAGAATTTGGCCAACACAATTGGAAAATACCAGCAAAGTATATACAAATGCACACACGCAACTTCACGTAAAAGCAGAGCATGAGACAGATTGGATTTTTTTTAATCACACCTTTTAAAAAAAAAAAATCCATGTGCTCCTACGTGGTTCATTTATCCCGCTGCAACATAAACAGACCTATCAGAGCCTGTAGTAGGGGAGAAAGTTTATTTTTTTCCTTTTTTTTCCCTGCCCCCCTGAAGATTTTAAATACAGTTTGAAGAGTGAAAATACAGATCTGGCCTGCCTTCCAAACTCACTTCAATAATAGATACGCAATTTTAAGACTACCACAGTCAGCAAGTATGTCCATAAGCTATACTTTAATGTATTTATCTATATTTTTAAGAGAACTTTATTTTCCCCCTTTGTTTTCATAGTTTCCTCTAGCATATAGTCCAGAAGAAAAAACTAGATGTCTTTCCTGATTCAGCAAAACCACCCTTCCACAATGAGTATCCTAAGAGTTTACATATTATTTCTCCAGAATCCTTACCCAAAGGAAAGCAGGCTTTTCGTCAGCTTCGGTACCAGTTTCTACAGATGTTGCATAGTCTTCATAAGATCGTTCTATCAAACATATCCTTCAGAAAGGAAGGATTTTAGCTTGCTTTCTGCTTGCAGTGTCTGACTCGAAGCTGCCGTTCACTTCTTCAAGTTTCTTGCCTGTTGCTGGCACGCTTCCTGCTAATACCTGAGGCTTCAATCTTTTGCAAAAACACAGTCAAAATCAGTACTGGCAAAGCCATAACCAAACATAAAGATTTGAAGAGATTACTAAAAGTACAAGATTCTGAACCAGGGGATAATAGCATTTTTAACAAAATTGAACAAACTTTGCTGCAAATTAAAAACAATTATTTTGTATCGGAGCCCATAATGACTATTTTGAATATAGATATTTACTGCTGCCAATAAAGAATTTTTTTGGTAACTTTTCTATTATTGGGAAGAGCTTGAATACAATCCAATCCAAAAAAATGCTGACTTTCCTAAATAGGGGCTGTGTTTTTGCAATAAAGAATACTGGTCAATATACAAGTGAAGGAAAACTGAACCAGATGTCAGTAATAGGACCACAGAACGTTGCATTTGCCCAGAATCGCTATTTTAAACACACGATGTTGGTCTACTGGTTTGTGGGATAATACATTCTTGGCAGCCAGAAGGAGTTTCGATATGTTAGAAGGTTATCCTTGAGCAAAAAAAAAGAAAAGAAGCAGAAGAGAGGTAGAGAAAGGCCACTCATTCATCAAGCTTCCTATAGGGGAAACAAAATCGTGACTTACTCGGGAAACCAGTTCAAAGAAAAGCCAGTCTCAACACAGAAGGCTGTTTTTTTACATTAATTTTCATTATCTGCTTTGCTTCCTTACAACTTCATTGTACTTTGCCTTTTTTTTTTTTAAAGGATTCTTCCCTCCATACATGCTCAGTTTCCAGGCAAGAAGTCGAAGGAAAAACTGGTGAGCTTTTCCCTTGCAGCTCACGTGCAGTCAGATGATGGGTGGGAGAACAATGCGCAACCCAAACCGCACAAAATCCAGGCCTGAAAACTTTCTGCGCTGGAAATGTTTGCTCACATGAGGATCTTGCTGCCATCACCAGGATTACTGGAGGAAGCTGTTCACAGGATCAGGCCCAACTGTCCCACAATCACTACTAGCAGTGCTGGAAGCCGCATGCACCAAAATAGCATTAACCCAGGTCCCTATCCATTGTCAATGAAGTACTCGCCCATCTCTGAAATGCTTTCTAGTTTCGAGTCACAGCGATTTGGGATTGGATTTTTGGGGGAGGGTTTCCCCTTCTATTTAAGAAGTAGTTACATCTGTATGCCTTCTTTAGACAGAAATAAAACTTCAAGATGTATTTTGTATGTTTGGCGAACAATCACTTCCCTGTTTTACCACGTAGTAAATTTAAAAATCAACTCTGTTCATTGTTTTAACAAACCTTCCTCTGAAAGATAATTAAAACCACTTCCCAATATACAACCAAAGTTTTATTTTTATAGTCTATCTTCCATTATGGCATAATACTTTCTTTTTTTTAAAACCAGTGAAATATACAAATCACGCAAGACAGAAATATGTACATTAAATGTACAGAACAGAGGAAAGGACATAGAGGATTTACATATCTGAATGACAAGCAAAATATTTTACATTAAATAGTGTTTTAATAGCTAGGGTCATGAGATTCAATTCTGCTCAGACAAAAGTCACTAAAAAGGAACATGAGGTGATTCAGCAAATGAAAAAAAAAAGGATCATGTTTTTTGTACAATAAAAACCAAAGTGACATATTCAATGAATTAGTGCTTTATTTATTTATCTTACTTTAAAGATATTCTTTGCAAACATCTGAAGATGAGGGGTAAATATTCCTTGTACAATAAATTAAGAGCAACAAAGCGCCATTTAAGAAGCTGATAAATGATCAAGATGAACTTAATGATATAGCTTAAAGGCTCGTGAAAAGTTAAGGCTTTAGTACAACTAGGCTAAAGTGAAAGATTTTCCTCAGTTGGTATTTGCTAAACCATTTTCTTTAACTTGTTGGATGGGACTAAGTTTGAAAGAGGCATCCGAACCAAAGATGATATCCTGTGTAATCACACAGCACTGGGGGGAATGCATATTGTTCAACAGATAACAACTTCCATTTCAAAAACCGAAAAGCAAGGCCTGAATGCAGCACATTTTAGAGTTGGAAGGTGTCTCCTTTCAGCAATAATCAATAATGCCCTTAACGTGAGAGTGGAACAGAAGCGATCTCCAGACCGATACCAATTCAAGCGTAGGGTGCTGCCTCTACCAACCACCCAAGAAAGTCCTAAAGCTGGGAAGAGGCTTACTTCTTTGGGATTATCTTAAAACTTTTGAATGATAAATCTTTTAAAAAATAATAAAAAAAAAACCAACACCAAAAAGTCAGAATCAATCTAAAAACCTGAAGAGATCTGAAAAAGAAAATGGGTGATGAACTGCCCCTGTAATTTAGATGTTTTATTATTTCTTAAGTCATTAAAATATATACGTACAAAAAGCTTTGAAATATCAGACACCAGCAGACCACAGTTGTCCCATATATATGTAACTGCTCAAGTATAGTCTGAACAGTTGTAGTGTATATCTGCAATATATTATCTAAAGCATGTGTATTAAAGACATAGAATGATAAATTTGGTATTGCTGCAACATTTCATTGAACTATAATAGTCAGTTAATGTTATTAAAATACGAAACTGTTGTCTCCTTGAGTGAAAGCGTTCCCAAAATCTGAGAAAAAAAAAAAATGAATCATTCCAAGAGTGGGTATCTAATGATTTATTTTCTCACATAAAATTAGAGGAGTTATTTGTCAAGCTGTGTTTTGAAAGACAGCCAGGTATTACAACATTTTTAAGGCATTTTCAAATTTGGGGAATTCTATTTTCTATGGGCTTTCCAGGCTGGGAGACCAAAACTGTTTGCAAGCATTGCAGCTCCCTGCCGCCCGGGTACTGTGCTCCACACAGTCTGCACCTCGGCGGCTCTCCATACTAGGTAGTAGTGAAGTACTGCTCTGGAAGACGAGACACTCGAACATCACAACTAGCTAAGAAGGCCAAATTCTGCCTTGAAGAGTATCTTCATTATTTGTCAAGGCAGATTTTTTTTCTTTTTCTTTCTGGTCTTGTTAGGTTCTGGAACCAGACACAGTGACTCTGGAATAGCGCAGCTGTAGCCTTTATGATCCTTTGCTCTTTACCCTCCGATGACATTGCATACTTAAGTGGGCACATTCAGATCTGCCACTGACACGGCACTTCATGATGAATATACCCCTTACTTACAGAGCCCTAAATGTACTGAACAGCTTTATATACCCTATTCTGGTAACTTCTAGTGTCTGAAACTAAAAGTCATGGACAGGTCTGTGTGTTCCTCACATCCATAAGGATTGTTCTAACATCCCAAGCACATTACATGGTTGCTCTGCCTACTGCACATGTATTATGTCCCATGGGACTAAATTAGGATATGTTGGATTTTCCCCTCAAACTACTCTATTGTTTTTAAGAAACGTCAATTTTTTTTTTTACTTTGTAAAATAAATATTCTCGGGTTCTCCCCCATTATTGCCAAAAATATAAGCTGCACACAGTTCTGGGATGGACGCAGACAGGGTTTCCAGGCACTTCTCTTTACAACCTCTATATTTTTCTTTTTTCGTTCCTTTTTTTTTCCTTCCAACTCATTGGACTCTATAAATAAAGTGGAGATAGTCCTGTGGAAAGGGAGAGGGGCCTGCACCCCTTGTTGGCAGGTGGCTGCAGTTCCTCCCACCTCGTCCGTCCCCTATTTGCACACAAATTGGTCCACGATCTCTGTGCACAACTTGCATTTCACGTAGCAGCACCAGTGGAACTTGCAGTGGCAGCGCTCTCGCTGCACTGTCTTGAACTGGTCATACCCTCGGCCACAGCACATGAGTTCGCAGCCGTCCATGCCCTCCGAGGTCTTATTGCAAAGGCGGCCCTGGGTGCCCAGGGACCCAGTGCTCTCGTTGCGCACGCAGTAGTCAGGGCTGGGATCAATGTAGACCAGGTCGTGGATGGTGGGTGCGTTGAAACGGCTGTTCACTTGCACCAGCTTGCCCCGGCTGTTGAGTTTCATGGCAGCAGCGCTATCATATTTCTCCTTGAGGGCATCGCCTACCTTGCGGAAATCGGCAAGCTGCAGCCAACAGGTCTTCAGGCTACAGGAACCAGAGACACCGTGGCACTTACAGGCCACGTCAGCCAAGTTGTACACAGTCTGGAGGAGCCGGGGAGAGAAAGCAAAAAGGATGATGAAAGATTAGCACGGCTGTGAAAGCATTTATTCCCCTCATTTCCTGCGCTCTGCTGCATTCCCACTCGCCCCTCTGCAATCTTCGCCTCAGCATCCTCCTCCCTCCTGCAATACGCTGGGAAGGAAGCGAGCTGGCACAGGCGCACCCCCAGCAGCCCCGGCAGCCGGGAGGAGGGGGGAGCGCTCCGGCCAGTCGACCCCACCACAGAAGCAGCCGCACCAGCACACATGCAGCCCAGACAGCAGCATCACTCGGGCTGCAGTCAAATATTAGGAATTTGCTCTCACGCCAGCAAAGGATTTTGCTGTTTCATTGAGAAATGTAAAACATCCCTTTATTTCTCCATCTGAGTTACTGTATTGATCTCAGCTTGAAGCTGCAATTAGGGCAAGAGTTAAGA